ACTCCAATAGGGAGTCGTCAGACGATTTCAGCTAAGTTGAATTACTTGTAGATTTTACTTTTACAAGTTGTGACTTGGATGGAGAGTTGTCTCATTGGCACTCATACCACATCTTTTTATATCTATTTGTTTTGCTGATCATTTTAGCTGTTCAAAGTGTTTATTTATCTACTATAGTTGTCATGATAATAGGCATAAGTATTTCTCGTTTTTTATATAGATTAGACCGTTGGTTTTCCTGTTTGAGTTGTTTTACACTAGTCTTTTTGGGGCCCTTTATAGCTTGCTGTTCGGTGTGAGCCAAGACTCCGTGTTGAAGGCTGTACTTTGACCTATAATTGTTTACTTTTTACACATTGTGACTTGGATGGATAGTTGTCTCATTGGCACTCATACCACATCTTCTTATTTATAAAAACACTAAAACTGTCTAAGAATAGTCATTAAAATTAAAAGAGCACTAACTCCAATAAGGAGTCATTGAATGCTTTCGACCATGTTTAACTTATATGTAGATCTTCTCCCACTGATCATTTTTGCTTATTAAAGTTTCTATCTATCTATTATTGTTTTTAAGATATTAGACAAAAAGTGCAAAACACAAATCAAAGTACTGAAGTACTGAACATCGGATGACCACAAGTTCTTGAGGATGGTCAAAAGCACTTGTCTCAGAAAAAAACAACATATCTCTTTACCTGAAACTGAGGTTAATGTACAGAGATATATTTTTTTCTGAGACAAGTTCGTGCGTGGATGATGTATAAATGACAGGAAATTCAACTTCACAATAACTATTATATTGTAGTGATACAAATCAGTATACATGGTGGACACTTTTCTGTAAAAATTCGATTTTTCTAAGATTGGATACGAGTAGGCATTCATATTTTCCCGCAAAAACAATTACAGAGTTACCGGTCCTCGCAAAAAGTTCTCTGAGATATTCTTCCGCATGCTTTAACACAATTTTTCGGTACGTCTGCATTGATATTATCAATGATTTTTTACTTATATATATATATCTAACTACAAAACATTTTCATATTATTAATTTATGTTGTAAACAAAAATATTTTTATCAGTATTCATTGAAGAGATGTATTTATATCAAACGATAAGGAATGTTATTTTGCATTCGTTTATGTGCGCATATTTATCATGTTTATAGATCGGTTACAAACCCAAAACTAATTTACATAATGGAAATCTAGGCGATAGCAATACATCTAAATGACCCCAAGGTCATCGCGATGTAAAAATGGGTAAAAATTGTCATTAAGTAGCAATAACTTCAATAAGGAGTCGTCCGACAATTTCAGCCCTGCAAACTTATTTGTAGATCTTGTATTGCTGATTATTTTTGCAATTTAAAGTTTCTCTCTATCTATTATAGCCTTTAAGAGAAAAGGCAAAATTTTAAAAAAAAATTGCTAAAATTTGTCATTTAAGGGCAATAACTCCTATAAGAAATCGTCTGACAGTTTTGATGTGACTGGAAAATATAAAGATCTAATCATTCTGAGCATTTCTGGCCCTGTCAGATTTTCTCTTTTCATAACAGTTTTCAAGATAATAGACAAAACTTGCATTTTACCTTGTAACATCGGCCATGTTGGTTGATAGGCAGGGTCTTCGGAAACATTTTTAAAACTAGATACCCTAATGATGATTGCGTTAAGGTGTGGTTAAATTTGGCTCAGTAGTTTCAGTCTCAATTGTTTCTGTGACCTTGATCTTTGACCTATTAACCCTAAAATCAAAAGGGGCTTACCTTGTCCATTATGGGGCATTATTGTTTACTAAATTTGGTAAGAATATTGTTTATGGCTCAAAATATTTCATCTGGAACCGAAATGTAGATGTCTTGGCAGCATTCATCATAATAATTTAAGCCAAGACAAGTATTGTTTAGATAGATTGCATTTTGTTTATTTGGAAAATTAAATAAACTTTCTGAAACTAAAAAGATATATACTTATTGCAGCTAATTAGATCAACAAGTATTCAGGTTACATTTAGCGATTAAAAATGTTAGGTATGATAATTATTATAAGATAAATTTGCTTTCATTTACAGACATAACATATTGTAATGATCAAAATGTTGCTGCACATTTTTTGGTAGGATTCTTGTTGCTCTGTCTATAGATTTCTATGCTTTGTTTTGTGGACTGTTGTATGTCTTTTTGTTGTTAAAAGTTTTTCATTTTTTGCCATGGTGTTGTCAGTTTTAAGTGAGTTTGTTTTTGACTTATCAGTTTTAATATCCCTTTGGTATCTTCTGCCTCTCTATTTCACCTTGCTCAAATTTTTGCCAATTACATCAACATTCAAATATCTGACCTTGCAAATCCAGAAGCATGGTTTTCGAAAAAAAAAAAGTTCAATAGCAACCCACAAATTTGCAGATTAGAAATTGTGTCTTATGTCTTAAAATTGTGTCTCATGCCTAAAAATTGTTTGTTATGCCTTATAACTGTGTTGTATCATGCCTTATAATTGTGTCTTATGCCTTATAATTGTGTCTTATGCCTTATAATTGTGTCTTATGCCTTATAAGTGTGTTGTATCATGCCTTATAATTGTGTCTTATGCCTTTTAACTGTGTTGTATCATGCCTTATAATTGTGTCTTATGCCTTATAACTGTGTGTTATGCGTTATAACTGTGTTGTATCATGCCTTATAATTGTGTCTTATGCCTTATAACTGTGTTGTATCATGCCTTATAATTGTGTCTTATGCCTTATAACTGTGTGTTATGCCTTATAACTGTGTATTATGCCTTATAACTGTGTCTTATGCCTTATAACTGTGTTGTATCATGCCTTATAATTGTGTCTTATGCCTTGTAACTGTGTGTTATGCCTTATAACTGTGTCTTATGCCTTATAACTGTGTTGTATCATGCCTTATAATTGTGTATTATGCCTTATAACTGTGTCTTATGCCTTTTAATTGTGTGTTATACCTTATAATTATGTGGTATGCCTTATAACTGTGTCTTATGCCTTATAACTGTGTGTTATGCCTTATAATTATGTGTAATGCCTTATAACTGTGTTGTATCATGCCTTATTATTGTGTGTTATGCCTTATAATTGTGTGTTATGCCTTATAATTGTGTTATGCCTTATAATTGTGTCTTATACCTTAAAATTGTGTTGTATCATGCCTTATAATTGTGCATTAGAGTATCCAAGAAAGCAGTATTCATATTAAAACTTGCTAAACAAATTATTTTGGAGAGGATGAAGGAAAAAATAAAGGCATCAGAGTAATCTCATAGTTAAGGATCCTAGGAAGAACACAATCCCATAACAATTTTAACAAAAACAAATATTTTTAAATTATAAAAGGAAATTAACTAATAGTATTCCGTTAAACAAACCATCAACTTAAGTCAACATTTTTATTTGTGAAAAAGGCAACTTGACTGTAAGCCACCTGACCAAGTTGATCAAGTTGGAAAGAAATGTATATATGAATGTTGTTTGTGCTGTATTTAGACCCCTCTACGAAGAAATTTGTTTTGCATGCACACGTATAAAAATAGCGGTTTTTATCCAGCGCAATCATAGGTTTGAACACTGTTTTCAATTTAGACTTGCATGTTTTCTGTTTGGTATTAAATTAATAATTTTAAAAGATCCATTTTGTAACATCTTGTGATCTGTTTATTTGGCAATCGCCAATGGCAGTAAGCAGGGTTTAAGAACATCTGTTGTTCGACCTGTTAGTCAAATGCGTTTTGTTAAAATATACTTTTTCACTTTTTTTTATCCAACGCAATCATAGGTTTGAACGTTGTTTTCAATTTAGACTTGTTTATATTTTTTCGTTTGGACTTGTATTATATTTTCCTTCGGGTTTATATGATCTGTTCATCCTATTTCTAATATTTCGACTCTTCAAAATTCAAGAGTCTATCCTAAATTGAGGTAAATTTAAGGCCTTCCAAATACCGTTTCGATCCCTAACATCACTGAAGAGACATTAAATGTCGAAATTACTATTTTTTGCACCTTTTGTTAGTGGTATACCATTTTTTCCGCAAGTTTATTGTTTTCTGTTTGGTATTAAATTAATAATTTTAAAAGATCCATTTTGTAACATCTTGTGATCCGTTTATTTGGCAATCCCCAATGGCAGTAAGCAGGGTTTAAGAACATCTGTTGTTCAACCTTTTAGTCAAATGCGTTTTGTTAAAATATACTTTTTCACTTTTTTGGTCTTTTGGAGAATGTTGTTTGTGCTGTATTTAGACCCCTCTATCAAGAAATTTGTTTTGCATGCACACATATAAAAATTGCGGTTTTTATCCAACACAATCATAGGTTTGAACGTTGTTTTCAATTTAGACTGTACATGTATATACATACATGTATATGCTTTCACAAATTTGCAGATCTAATATTGTTGGGCTAAATTTGAGACAAATGATATATCTGTAATTACAGTCAAAACACATAAAAACTAGTGTATTTTACAGTAACATTGATATGTCAAATCTGTCCTTGATTTACGAGTAATGTCGAGGGGACATCTGTAATAAACTAGATCACTTTAGTCTGTATAAATTTACATTATGTCACAATGTATATATATATATATATATATATATATGTTATGTCTCAGTTCATGAAGATCCTAAAAAACTTTTGAATTTGGCATTTGTAAACGTATTCATGTACATGAACAAATTTATTATTTTTTTCATTTTTTTTTGATAAATTTATCAGGAAACAAAGATAATTGGATATTGCACAATATAATACTAATCAAGCATTCACTGACTCAGTTCAACCACTTAAGGTTAAGAATATATAAATGTTATATGTACTAATTCTGTTACTTTTTCTTCTTCAACTGAAGACTTCTTTTGCTTGCACATTATAATCATTAGATGTTAAAACAGCATATATACAAGTAAAATTAAATCAAAGTAAGTCGTTCCTATGTTCTTACTGTAATTTTTAATATATTGAATTTGACTTACATTACTTCAGCTAGCTGGATGCAGTCACCAATGGATGAAATGTAAACAAAGTCTTAGTTAACACAAGACATCATATGTACATGTATATTAAAGAAAAAATATTTAATACAGTTGACTAGTCAGCCTGCAATTATCAACAAAGTCGATATGCTCCAATGAACATGATGGTTCAAAGTCCACTGAGACCCCCAAAGGTGCTTATATATGTAAATACAGGTGAAACATATAATCAATATATATACTTGATTTTGGTCTTTTAAAGGGAACAAAGCTATTGCTTTGAACAGCTGATAAATAATTATAACTTCAAATTAAAAACATTTCTGTTTTTCATATCAATAGAAAACAAACAATAACATACAAATGCATACAACTAAGGTTAGGGGGATATTAGCTTTCCTTTACACAACTTTTAAAAGAATGATAGAGGGTTGATGAAAGAAAATTAATATGAAACAGTACAAAATTATTTTTGTCAATTTTTATGGTTCAGTATTTTTGTTATACTTTTTTTACTAATTTATCACAAGAACAGAACTTTTTGACTGTTCTTGATCTTAACAAATGTTGGAAGATTTGTAACAGCTCACACATTGCAGCAAGATTAAAACAATCCACCCCTAGCTTTTGACTATTAAAAGCAGTTTTTGTTACGCTACAAGTTCAAATTGGTAATGTATCCATGTTCACAGATATAAGAATTTCTGAAAAATAATTTTTATTCAAGATTTATAGGAAAAAAGTCAAAAGAATTTATTTTATTTTTTCCAGAAAACGCACTGGATTTATACCAAAGCTCATCAATTTCAATTACATACATGAATAAATATTACTTTTTTTTAAAGCTTGCAACTTATAGTGCTAAACAGGTTGAAAAGCTAGCTAGAAACTGATAATAAAAATAATAAAAATACCTTGAGGCATTGTTGGGTCAACGGGAGGTGATGCCTTGAGGCATTGTTAGGTACGCACCAGGCAATGACTCAAGGCATCGTCTGGGATGAAAGGGTTAACCTTACATGTACAATTTTCTCTTAATCTAAAATTCAAACATTCTGACAGGAGAATGTACTGATACCATTAACCGAAAATTGGTGCGCATTTTAAACAGAGCTAGTAGACCTGCTAAACAAAATTTGCACTTCATATTTTTTTCTCTCACACAGGTGAATTAAGCAAATGGCATGATTTAACGTAGCTGGGGTTTCTACATGTTCGACAATAGATTTTTATTAAAACTTCTGTGATAGACTTCTGGGTCAACGTACTTTCAAATTTCAATATAAAAACTGGGGGTCATATATATGCATTGACCTTGTTTGTTGTTAAAATAAATTGAAATCAGTTATTTTATATGGGTTATATAGGGGAAATTAATTTTGCTTTATTAAGGAAACATTAAACGATAGAATTCAATTAGTTAAAATTCAATGAGAGAATTGGTTTTCATAAATACTTCCGAATATCAAACAAAAATAGGGGTCATGGTCCTTAATTTCTTGAAAAATCCAAAAGACACAAATTGTCTTATCAAATTCAATATAATTATCTGCCCTTGATTTTAAAAGGATTTTTTCAGAAAATTATAAAGACACTTAATTTTTTGATAGTTTCATATTTTAATTTCAAGTTTTAGATGTCATGTTGTAAATTGAATGATAATTGGTAAAAAAAATTTAAACCAAAAAAGTATTTTTGCAAGACGCGTAGAATATATGCAGTGGGATATCCAGTGAACGAAAAAAAACTTGAGTAGTGTCTGCACACATTGTACATGTTGTCTTTTTGTATGTAAAAAATTCACTCTTCTTATGATAGAGTCGAGACAGTCAATAATAAAACAATGCCGGTGACGATACTGATCAAGTTATTTCCAAATAATAATTGTTCATTTTAAATAAATAAATTGTTAAACTGTGTTATTAGAAATATACATGCAAATACACAATGTTTTATGTTCAGTATTTATCGAGATAATTGCATTAGAAGCTTGTTAAACTGAAATTTAAAAACTGCCAATCTTTGCTGCATATTGATAAAAAATATTGGAAAAAATCATGAACATACGAAATCTAAAGATTTTTCGGGTCACCAATTTTCGGAGTGTTCCAAAGAGTCCTTAGCATGTTACAACATGTACAAAGTCCCAAAGTATACTTATTTTTCACACCTAAGTTATCAAGCACACCGGTCTGCTCTTGTCACATGTACATTCAGTAAAGAAATATTGTCTTTTTGTGAATATAAAAATTTAAAAGTCTGTCTGTGCATCTTAGAAATTAAAAGGTAATTATTTTTATAAAGTACATGTAGGTATCTTTCTGCTATTTTTTATACAATTTTAAGAAAAGGTTGTCCTGATTTTTGTATATATATATATATATGTATTTGCGGTCTTCTTGATCTATTCACATTCAATGTTTACATCGAGATAAGGTCTATTTGAATTTGCTTAGTACCTTAATTTCAAAAGTGCCAATCTTTGCTGCATATCAATCGATTCCTTTGGAATTTTTTCCCCGACTTTCTCTGATCTAGCTGTATATATATTCGGATAATTAGCATGTTCCAGAAAGGTAAACAGCCAGTAGAAAAATAAATTGAAGTTGGTACTCCAGGAATTTATTCGCATAGCAACATTTTAAACCAATTACATCAAGTTTTTATAGCCTGCTGTACACGTCGTTTGCTACTTAAGGAGGGAAATGATAACATTGAACGTAAGTTTTGTTTTTATTTCAACTTATTTCTATTTTAACTATTTACCAGAACGTTTTCCCGTGAATCCATAATTGATAGCGCCCTTGCTAAAATGGGACAAACATTGAGAAGATCTAGTTTTCAATATTTACAGGGGAGGTACATGTAATATTTTGTCCCTAGATTTCCCACTGTATTGTATGCTCAGGAAAAGACACCCGATCTACCTTAAATAGATTTCCACTGAAAAAAATTCAACCCCACTCCCCTAGTCTGACCTCCTGTTTAATAAGTACTCTTCAGTAACATCACCTGTAAGTTGATATTGTCATGCAGATGAGGTTGTTGACCCAACATTGCACAGATTTCTGACATTATCACATGACTTTTGTATGTAAAATGAAGTCGGACACAGAAAAATAGACTGTCTTGGAACTTGAGTAGTGTCTGCACACATTGTACATGTTGTCTTTTTGTATGTAAAATTCTAATAGGTATAGAAATAAACAATTCATACAAATTATTAGAAAAGTATTGTTTTTGGCCCAGAATTCTTAAAGAGGCATTAAGCTGTCAAATTCCTGTTCACTGATTTGACTCAAATTCTTATATTCGACTTATAACATACTAAAAACCAGATCCAAATTATAAGAAGTCTAAAATAAACAATTTACGATGCATAGACTCGACAGTATGTATCAGCATTTCATGTGTATTTTAGTCTAGACACCATCTAATTAACCATTGAGGTGACCTCTAAAGACTGCCGACGGTCATATAACCCAATATAAACATAAACATAGATATAAATAGATTGCGAACTCATGCAATTGGATTTTTCTAGGTCTGTTTGATTTCATGTTATAGGTTAAAAAATGTGTTAAAAATCGTTTGTTTTCCTGTATAAGAATGAGGTTTTCTAGATCGAATCAATCAACCAAATGGTTTACCCTTGTTTCACTTTTAATGTTTACATTCTTTCCGTTCTATAACTGAACAAACTTAGTTCATGCGTAACCCATCTCTAGCTATAGGGATCAATTATAGTTCACAAGAATACGGATTCAATGAGGTCGAACTATTCCCTTGCAAGTGAAATAATTCATAAGCGATGTTTTTTTTGCTTATTTAGACAAAACTGAACCAAACTGGCTGTTAAAAGCGAATCATTATTTCACCATTTCACTTTCATTAATGCATTGTAATGATTAAACCAAAAAAAAAAATCACATATTTTATTTTTTTTATACATGTATCTAGTAGCTAATGCCACTTTAAAAAGTTAGGGCGATAACCCCAAAAATCAATCCAAACTTTCCTTTTGTGGGAAGGAACCTTGTGGTTTAATTTCATAGAAATCCATACACTTATACTCAAGTTATTGTCTGGAAATCAAATGTCTTTGGCGACAACATCGCCATGGCCATACCTAATTTTTGCGGTCGTGTTTAAACTAGAAAATAGTTCTTTGTGCATGATGTAGTAAAAACTTTGTTTTAGATACTTTTTTAAATATAAATTAATTTAATTGAAGTATAAATTCATAGTGAAATAAATATCCTAAAAAAATGTTCAAAATCAATTAGTTTTAAAAAGCTACCATATCAAAGAACCATGATGAGGAAATGGGGCCATATAATTTCTATGGAAATTGGACTTGCAAATGCCAATATAACTGCATACCAAATATAAAATAAAATGGTTTTACTTCAGTTTATATACCCTTCTATACGTTACTATACTTTAATAATTTGTGATTTTCTGTGGACCTACATGTATGTAAATTTTCAGAAAAAAAGTTTACTTCATTCGTCATTTTAGAATACTTTAACAACACTTTTTAGCAATAAATGTAAAGTATACTGAAGCTTATTCCTTCAAGATTTCAGCACTATAATTTAAGTTTTATTTAACATGTTTAAGCACGGGTAAAAATATGACGATGTGAGGTAAAAATACCACAAGGCATGCATATGATACATGTTTAAAAAAAAACATTAACCTCTGAACTTTTTGTCACGTGCCCAATGTCTTGTCCTCAGAAGCCATTAAATTGTTTGCTCTACAACTGTAACAACAAGATTTGACAGGGCCAGTTATACAATGAAACAGAATAAAATAATAGAAAGGAATGAATAAAATTTTTTAATACCTCATGTTAAGTGATCAATGCATGAATGTCAGATTCATGTACATGTACATGTATTATTACGTTTTAAATGTTTAAAAACAACACTGCTGACTGCAATAGGTACGATTCATGAAAAAAAAGTTGCAATCACAGCAACACATAAGTTATAAATCCTTGAAATTTACTTTTCGTCTTCTAGGTTAAAATGACTGCCAAACAATATCCATGTGCCTTTTGCCATTTTGCAAAATGTAAATGACCTGTATATAAAATTTTGGGGATGAAATATTTT